GTTGATTTTGCACTTGCCATATGCGGATGTAGTTGAAAGAGTGTGTATGGTTCTGATTTCCATGAAACAATGAGTGTACATACTTACATACATACGTTGCATATAGACAAATTAACAATTATAATGGTACTTCATATTTGTTTAATGCACACATAATTATACATATACTTTATATATATGTATAAGAATATTTGCGACTGCTTGGTCTTTTCTTATGGAGTTATGTCAAGCAAGAGGAGTACAAAATCAAACCAGAAATCTGATTGAACTGAAGTCCATTAGATAGATATTTGAGGCAATCCGACGAAACTCCAGCCCGCATTAATTTTCTAATTAGTGTCACATGCGTGGCTGAGCATGGAGGAATAATTAATTGTATAAAATAAAATAAGATTTTCTATACAATACAAAAAAATTAATGTAATGCATTGATTAAAAGAAACTTATTACGGTTTATTTTTGTAGCACGATTCGTGAGCCGCCCTGTATATGCAGAATATCTTAAAATTATATGTAAATTCGTTTGCGCATTGTAAATAAGGAATCTGTAAGCGTACATTTCGTAACATTGAATTTAGCATTATTTTTCTCTTTTAACATTCAAAATGCTCAATTCTGCTATTTTGCGCTCCGCAGGGGTAAAATTCTGGTGAAATCAGCTTATAATTAGTTTGTGGTGAAATGCACTAATGTTGGCGAGTAACCCTCCGTCAAGAGGAACATTTTGACAATCGGCACACCATGAACCTTTTCTGTCAGAAAGATGTTCAATTTATGATTTCTAGCTTTTGCCATCGTCGCGAAAAGACGCTTGTTGGCAAACGCCTGCTCGGGGAGATGTGTAAGGCGTTTGCTTTTATGAATGAAACGACTTAGCTTATTGCTTGGGCGCCAGCGTTCATGAATGAAAATGTTGTTGGTGTGTGATTTACTACAAATTTAGGATTTGTCAATTTGGCTGCCATATTGATTTCTGGTGCTGATGCTATTTGAGACAATTGTTGTTTTTGTACTTTACTTATTTTGTGCGGTCATACGCATATTTGTACATACATACTTACATATAGAGTGCGCTCACATTTATTTATTGATAATTGAAAATATATTTTTATATTATATAATATAACATATTGATGTATATATGTACATACATAAATTATTAATTCTGTAACAACTGAAATTAGAAAATTATGAAAATCATTTCTTGCATAATCTTTCACATTTTATCAATGTAGCATTTGTGCAAAAAAATCATATGTTATCAATTTTTCATCATAAAAATCGTTTATATGGCAGAAAATAATCATGCATATGTGAAGTGGCATTTGTATTTTTTGTTTTCTCATTCATTTCAATTCATTTTTCTCTTTATGTTGGGAGATACGTAATTTGTCAGAGAACGTTGTTATAAATTCTCATTTCTGTTAAATAACAGCATATACTACAGAAAATGGTGAACTCCTTGATCTCAATTTTTCAGCTAACCAATCGAGCATCATACAAAATTCAATTTGCACCTTCTCGTTCATTTACATTCTCTGTATGAACATGCCTACATATTGACGAAGATTTTTGCGAGCCACGGAAAAATATTTTAGAATTGTGAAATATTTTAAATCGACAAAAGCTGTGTTGCCACTTTTGTAGTTGTTTTCTGTGTTTGCAGGGTTGTCACTTTTCCCTTCTATAGGGAACATCAGAAACAGAGAACGTATATCATAGAGAAGGTTCAATTGCGGACCAGCGTGTGAATTGTAAAAACCTAACAAGATTTTATTAGTAAATTTCACCACTTTTGGCTCGGAAGGAGAAATTTTAACAGTGGAGAGTGAACAGAGCTGAGCATTGTATGAAAATTATGCTCAGAGACTTGCTTTGATATTACAGCTGCATGTTAGCCTTTTGGCTTATATTCTTATACGCTTATATGCAAACATATTTATTGATATGAATATCATTTTGCGAATTTTTATGAATGCATGCAAAACTGATAAGATCTTTTTTAAATTATGACATTTCAAATTAAAATTTATAGCCAATTTGGGCATTTAATAATTTTATTTAGTTTTTACCTAATATACATTCCTAATAAATATTTAATATTATAATAATAGAGATTAAATTTATTACAATATGTGTATGTATGTACATCTTTTATCATATTAATCTTATATAGTCATATGTATGTACATATGTATTTGAATGTACGCATTCAGAAAGTCAAATCATGATTTTATCACTTATCAATACACTATATGTGCGCGCAATGATTTATATGTACACGCATATATCTAGATAAAATTGCCGAACAAATAATGCATACACAAACCAACCTACATATCTGTGTGCGTACACATGTAAATATGTCACCCGCAAAAACTACAAACATTGTTCTACAAAAACAACAACCGTCACAAGTCAATACGTCAGCCAAATAGGCGAAACCCAAATTTATAGTAAATTGCACAACAACAACATTTTCATTCATGAACGCAGGCGTAGTTTTAACAAGCAACCTCGCTTCATTCATAAAAACAGATACCCCCACATCCCCGCGAGCATGCGTTTGCCAACAAGCTTTTTTTCGCGACGATGGCAAAAGCTAAAAATCATAAATTGAACAAATTTCTGATATTCCCTCTGGAAGGGAAAAGTTGCAACCACGCAAGCCCACAAAACACAGAAAAAATTGACAAAACTGGCAACAAAGCTTTTGTCCATTTAAAATATTTTACAATTTTAAAATTTGCGTCAAATATGAATAGCATGACTCATATATAAACATACATATTTACGATGATTTTGGCAAAGCTGTTAAGCGGCAAGAGGAAGCGGTGACAATCGGCGGCCGTTCGTTATATTTTTTGGCCAAGCTCGGATTTTCTACCAACACACAATGTAGTGACGCTTTGTCGTCGCGTCAGTCCTTCGACACAGTGACTCTTTGACAAGAAAACAAAAAACGTGAGCTTCGGCCATTGGTTGTCCGTGGCAACGGAGATTTCGCATCAAACAATGAGTGTACATATTTACATTCATACGTTGCATATGGACAAATTAACAATTATAATGGGTACTTTCATATTTGTTTATATGCACACATAATTATACATATACTTACATATATATGTATAAGAATATTTGCGACCGCTTGGTCTTTTCTTATGGGGTTATGTCAAGCAAGAGGAGTACAAAATCAAACCCAGAAATCTGACTGAACTGAAGCAGTCCATTAAATAGATATTTGAGGCAATCCCGACTTGAACCCTCCAGCCCGCATTAATTTTCTAATTAGGTGTCCAATATGCATGGCTGAGCATGGAGGAATAATTAATTGTATAAAATAAAATTAAAATTTTTTATACAATACAAAAAATATTGATAAAAAGAAACTTATTACGGTTAATTTTTGTAGCACTATTCGTGAGCCGCCCTGTATATGCAGAATATCTTTAAATTATATGTAAATTCTTTTGCGCATTGTAAATATACGAATCTGTTGGCGTACATTTCTTAGCATTGAATTTAGCATTATTTTTCTCATTTAACATTCAAAATGCTCAATTCTGCTATTTTGCGCTCCGCAGGGGTAAAATTCTGGTGAAATCCGCTTATAATTTATTTGTGGTGAGATCCTCTTAAGTTGGCGAGTAACCCTCCGTCAAGAGGAACATTTTGACAATCGGCACACCATGAACCTTCTCTATGATATACGTTCTCTGTCAACACTTGCTTCGTAGCTCTCTCTCTCTTTCTTTATCTTGGCTCACTAGTGGATGCGTCATACACCCTAACCACTGCAACTTATTATATTATATTGAACTTAAAGGCAACTGAAGAAGCTAATTTAATATTATATAATGAGTTGCTGTGAAAACTTCAAGCAGAGATGATTTTAATATAATTTTAACTGACAGTGAAAAAAATATAATAATAAAACTCAGTGAGTCTATGACCTATAATATAACTTAATAAACTACCAAATTTGTAATCCATTTACGATTTCGATGTCGAGTAATTACTGTTGAATTGTTTCTTTCTGATAATAGTTGGATTTTACTTTTGATCTTTTACATTATGCAAAAGTATAACTGAAAAGCTAAATGTGTGCAAAACCGTGTATAAAAATTGAGCAATGGCAAAATTGCTCAAATGTGCACAAGAGAGTACTACGACGACGAATGTAAAATGAATCTGTATATCGTGAATGAATTTGTAAACATAAGTGTGTCGTGTATGGCTACTTTGGAAGTTCATTTCAAAAATGTTTTCACGGGCGAAGGTTATATGCTAGTTAGGTCATTAAACTTTTTTCTGGGATGAAATACATACATTTCTACATATTTCGTATAAAAATAGTCTTCATTGATTCAACTAATGGTGCACAAAATGCTCCTAGAATGTGAAATGTGGACCGAAATTGTGATACCATTCACAGGTACATTTCTTTTACAAATGTATAACAAAATCTGAAAAACGAAAAACTTTGCTAGTTCTTTCTAGCCACTTTGCTCGATATAAACAATATTCAATTCGAACTAAGGTTACTTAATAAATAAAAATATTTATTTAATGAGCTATCGCTCATTAAGTAATGTTGAACATATTCGTCACATGGGAAGTGGGCGTAGTATCATCCTAATTCACCCATTTCCAAAATAAAACAAAAACAAAAAAATGTTATTCCTGTACCAAGTTTAATTTCGTAGCGTAATTTTTGTCTTAGTTATAGCACTTTATGACTTCTCGTTTAACGGCATTTTGTAGGCATGGCAATAGGCAGATTTTTACGATTTCCAATACCAACTCCTCATAGTGTCAAGGAATTCGTGTAGCAAGTTTTAGGAGTTAGAACCCGCCGTATGGTGAATAAGTCTATTATACTATGGGTTGGGACAGTATAAAAATAAGATCAACTCCACTTCATCATGAGAAGTAATAATATCTAGTTAACAACTCTTAATTGAATAAGTTTATCAGTATGTTATCTCGATAGTTACCTTCTTGAATCTTTTCGTTTGATATTAATTGTTGAGTTTGGTAATGAAGGCGAACTACTTCAACTACAGAATCGAACTTATATAATGCATGCCTAATGTCTTCGACGGGTAAATCTTCAGGCACATCCATAACAAAGAGAGTGAATGTTTTTTTCGGTCGACAGGGAATCGCTATCTGTAAAGATATTATATTTTCATTTAATTAAATTACGTACTTGGTAATTATTTTGAAATAAAAAAATAATAATACGTTATAAAATAATATTGTAAGAAAAAATTTATGGTTATTAAATATTAACGCCTTTCTGAATGGTTAAATCTCTTACCAAACGAATAATTCTAATACGAGAGCTGTCCGATAAATACTTAGCCTACAAAAGGAAAATAACTAAAGAAAGGCTAAGTTCGATGTAGCCGAACCTTTTATACTCTTTCAAAACTTTGTACTAAACAAGTAAGGAAGGGCTAAATTCGGGCGTAACCAAATATTTTATACTCTTGCAACTTGCAAGGATCAAAGTTGGCGAAATATTATACTAAAGAATGTTGCGAAAGAATTCAATAATTATTATTCCACGAAATCGTGAATGGATAACAATCAATTTAGGCATCTTATTTTTTTTAAACATATTTTAATCACGTCAACAAAATTGTATTAAAATCATCCGTAAATGAGAAATATGTGATATAAACTCAACCGAAGAAGCTAAATTTAATATAATGAGTTGATATGAAAATGTCAAGTGGAGGATCGGTATTTCTTATTTTATCGATATAAGTGCAGACTAATTGCATTCATATTCCCACACAATTTTTAGAAAAACTTCTTCATTTAATTTTATTAAAGTCTCACACATTTTGTCAGGTGGAAAGTCGGAAATCATTATACAGTCGAATTCGCTCGAACCTGAAAATCACTTCACTGTATAAAAAACTTCATTATGTAGAAACTATGATTGTTTTGTATTTTAATTTAAAATAATCAATAAGTTTCGTTTGAATTACATTCTTCCATATCAAATTTTTAACTAAACCGTCCAAATCCTCATCTCCATAAAGGTTCTGATTCAGTTAATGAATGAAGAAACTTGTCCTAATGCACGTAATGCCTCATCAGATCTGCCAACTCTTCAACGGTCAAATCGTCTTCATCGTTATCTGAATATGTAAAAGTGTATCAATGTTGACGTATATACTACTTTTTTAAATGAAGACTCCAAAGCAGCCAAATCCGATATTGAAAGAAAGTCCTCTTTATCTCAATGTTTAAATGGATTCTGCGTGGCACCTTTTGAAAATTAAAAGTGTGGAGGGCATAATTTATTGCTTCACGAACTCGTGTTTGTCGCGAAAGCTTCCATGTAATATCCTTCAGTCATTGGCTTTATTTTAAGTTCTTTTCAATTGGAAGCGTAGAGAATGTAACTGTTTAGTACGGCCATATTAGTCATTCTTTAAAAAATAAAAATACTAGTGTCTGGTTTTGCGGCTGCAACTAACATGACCAGACATTTGATCATAAGTATCCACGGTTGAATTTGATTAGTTGTAAGATTCAATTATTGCTGGTTTCTTCGACACATAATCAATGGTAGGTGATTCGTGCATAGTAGATATCATGTGAACAGTTTTGTTTGATTTTGTATAAGCTTATTATGAAGTGCTAACATGGAAGTGTCAACACAGGGACATAGATTATGCTTGAATTTTTCGTGAATTTCTTTTTTATTGCTTCTTATAATCATAAGTAACGTTAACTTATTGGTTCGGAAAGCATCTGTTCAGCTAAACTTATAGAGGTTAACCCATAATCTACTGTTATATTTCTGTTGTAGTTTTGATTAAAAGTAAAACTCTAATGGTGCTTCTATCATCAAAATGTAGACAGGGACCTACGGAGCAAAGAATCAAAGAGCTTCTTACATTATAAATGGCTATGTTTCAACGTATCACTCAAAACTAGGACGCCAAGAGGATCATTAAGTTCTTATTTTCTAGTCAGCGAGGTTGTGGTAGTTTGTTTTTTGTACTTGCTTCCCGTGATTTGAATGTCCTCATTAATGCGAAGAAGTATTTCATCAATTATGTTTGATGTGAAATATTGTTAAAAACACTTTAACGGTTTTATAATACTTTCACTTCCTCTTTTTAATAACCCAACGATTACCCTCCTCCCGCCCAACCGACGCGAGGGGCGCATTCCGCATACGTGCGGAATTAGCCGAGTCAGAAAAGGCAAGAGAGTTTTTTAAGTGTTGAGATCTAAAACTGCTCAGCTACAGAAACAAAAATTTCAACAGCTAAGATCTAAAGTTACAATATAATAAATTGTTACATTTTCATTTATTAAGAGAAAACAATAAAGTCTTTTTAATTTTAAAAAGTGAGTCAGATAAGTCAAATGTGCTGGAATGAGAATTAAAATCATGACATATACGGCGGAATGGCTCGTTTAGTTCAAAATTTGATCTACAGGATTTTAGCAGTAAAGGTCTAAACTGCCTCGAAAGGCGAACCGGGATATTAAATTTAATTTCAGACAGGAGAAAAGAACTGCAAACAGTTCCATTCAAAAGTTTCACTAAGAATGTTATGCCAAGCATTTCCCTACGACTAGAAAGTGTAGGTAGATTAATAAACGACGTTTTAAACGACTAGTGTATGGAGGTAGACTTACGGAAATGCGCTAAGGCGAAAAGTAAAAATTGTTTTTGAACCGACTCTAACTTGTCAGAATGGATTTGGTAGCTAGGGTTTCATACCACAGAGCCATATTCCAATATAGGTCTAACCAAAGTTGTATAAAGTGTTTTAGTAATATACGGATCTCTAAATTCTTTAGACCAACGTTTAACAAAACTGAGGACAGCTTTTGCTTTCAAGACCATGGTATCAATACGAAGACTGAAATTAAGCTTAGGGTCAATATTAACTCCCAAATCAACATAGCTTAAAACTTGCTCTAGAATATGGTGTTTTATTACATAAGAAGAGGGGTGCACAGATCTACGGGAAAAGCACATCGTCTTACATTTATTGAGATTCAATGGCAAATCATTTCTATCACACCATGCAACCAAATTGTTTAAGTCTGTTTGCAACAGACAACTTTCCTCAGTTGAAGTGTATGATTTAAAAGGTTTTACATCGTCAGCGTATAATAAAATTTTTGAAAATTCTATTACTGAAGAGATATCGTTAATAAACAACAAGAACAGAATCGGGCCAAGATGACTACCTTGCGGAACACCTGAAGAAACATTAATTGTATCTGAAGGTGTATCCTCAAATATCACTCGTTGTGTTCTATTATAAAGATAGGAAGATACCCATTGAAAGAATCTTGGCTGAAAGCCCAGCAGATCAAGTTTATGTATGAGAATGAGATATTTACTTTATCGAAAGCTTTGCTAAAGTCTGTGTATATAACATCCGTATGCTTATGTTCCCTAAAACCCAATGATACATGGTTTACAAATTCAAGTAAGTTTGTTATAGTCGAGTTCCCTTTACGAAATCCATGCTGAGATGAGGAAATTAACGGAGAAATCGAAAAGGTTATATGGTCAGTGATGATAGCTTCAAAAAGTTTAGGTATAACTGATAGTTTTGCGATACCTCTATAGTTTTCAATGTTGGATCTAAATCCACTTTTATGCAAAGGGACTATAAATGACTGTTTCCATATTGAAGGAAATATACCGTGTTTAAGAGAGGAATTAAATATCCTTGTCAAAGGCAAGTAAATATATTTGGCACTATTTTTTAGGAAGCATGAGGGTATCATGTCTGGGCCATAACTAAAAGATGGTTTTAACTTATTTAAGTTAAAAAGGACGTCTTCTTCAGAAATAACTGGAGCATTAATTAAAGTATTCGAACACAGCACTTGCTGATAAGAAAAAGTTTTGGAAGAATTATTACAGTAGTTTGACTTGAAAAATTCTGCAAACATATTGGATATAATATCATTGTCACTTGAAATGATAGATTTGTATTTATTGCGGACGGAAATTTGGAAGTCCTGCGTTTGGAGTTGACGAAATCATAAAACGATTTTGGATTACTTACAATATTTTTTTTTACTTTATTTAAGTAATTATTATAACATTTTTTGTTTAGGTCAAAATATTGTCGACGCAATAGAGAATATTTAGAATAGTCGACAAGTGAACCGGTTTTTTTAAAATGTTTAAAGGCTCGAGTTTTTCTGTTTTTCAATTTATATACCTCTTTCGAAAACCACGGACTTATACTTTTGCTTTTATTAACAATTACTATTGGAACATACTTTTCAAATAATTTCATAATAATGTTATTAAAATGAGAGACACTCAATTCAATGTCACCATTATAATTAGGCCATGTTATTGTAGACAGTTCTGTATTTAATTTTTTTAAATTAGCTTTTGCAAAGTTAAACTGAGTACAGAAGCACGAAGTTTGATGATTATTATCCCGTACAATGCCTGAGATTTCGACAGATATTTCCAAAGCAGGATGATATGAGTCCTCTGGTAGAACAAGAGGATTACTCTGAATAACGGAACACTTTGCAGAGGTATCAACGTATACTAAATCTAAGCATTTACCAAATTTATTCGGAATCAAATTAATTTGGTTCAGACTCAACTCGGACATTTTTTCGAAAAACTCATTAAAACATGACCGATTGCAAATCGGCACGATATAGTCATCGAAAGATTTCCACGAAGCACACGGTAAATTGAAATCACCTAATACAATTATTGAATCTGCATTAATTGCCATCGAGGTAGCACTATTTAGTAAAGAAGCATGCTGCATGTATACAGATAAGTCCGAATGGGGTGGTATATAAGATAGGGTTAAATAAATAAAGCAACTATTAACGTATACTCTAATACATTTAAATTCAAATGAGTCGGTCCCTGGAACAAGAATATTTTCAGATGGGATAGAGGAATGCACGGCAAATAGAACACCTCCACCGATTCTGTTCAGTCGATCACATCTAAAAATTTGAAATTCGCTGTGTAAAATCTCATTATCAAAAATGTGAGGTTTTAACCAAGTTTCTGTAAAACCAATTATATGGAAATTAAAATTGGAACTGTTCAAATACAAGTCAGTTAATTTTGTATCAAGACCTCTAACATTTTGATAATAAATGTTTAGCGAATTTCTACCAATCAG